AAAAGTTTTAAATTATTAAATAATTAAAATACAGTTTAATATTCTTAAAACAAAATATTTATGATTTTATTTTAAATATTATTAAAATTTTAATTTAGATTTCAGTAATTCGTGGAAATATTGGTTATAATAAACAGTTTTTTGTTAGTTTTTGTAACGAAATCTAATCTCAAGACTTAAAACGAGATAATTTAGTGTCTATTTATGAAATCTCTTGTGACTTATATTTATATACACTTTGATTTGTTTGCATATTCTTTAGGCAGATTTAATAAACTATTTTTATGTGTATTTTATGTTCAAATTTAGTAATTTAAAATTTAATTTAATATTTATTTTAATATTAAATTATATTTAATGATAATAAAGCATCAAGAATCATTTTAACATTTTATTTATTTAAAATAATTAAACATTACATAAAGTCTTAAAGTCAATGATAATTTAGTTCAACTACTTATATTATCTTGCTTAAAATTTATTAATCTATGTAAATAATGGAAAAATAATGCATAAGCAAAACATTATCACAAATATTGAAATATGATTAGCAACTAAATGGATAAAAATTGGTTATGAACAAGAGAGCCCGAAATTAATATACGCCCCCCCGTTTATAATGTATAATTCCTATGCTGTGTTCACGCTGGTGAACGAATCGGGCACTTATGGTTATGAATAAAAAATGCCAACTATAATAAATTCACAGAATCATTGGTTAAATACCGTTGGTTGAAATTACTGATAAAACTTAACATGCTAATCAGTTAATTACCTCATTATATTCTTGTATGTTGATTAAACTCCTATATTGTATTGTCATAGAAAATATTCTGTTCAATGATTAGATTATGGTTATTAATAATAACTTATTATTGTTACTAATCAATCTAGTGCAATTTATTCCTGTTATATCCAGTGATGGCTAGACTGAGTGTGGGATGGGGCTGATATTGTTGTAATAGTGTACTTTTTTAGTATACCTACTATACTCAAGGCGGTGGGGTTGTTTCGTACAAGGTGGCTTATAAACCTAGGTTATTAACTTCTGTAAAAACAAAACTACACTTATTAACATACCCTCTGTTTAGTGCATAAAATAACACAGATTTCATTATACCCTCTGTTTCAAGTAAATTATTATAAATGTAATTTATTGGAAATAAATTATTAGTAAGGGGGAGATTATCTCTCCATTACTATCAATAACTTATTAACAATACAATATTACCTTAAAGGTATTGTCAATAACTCAATCGCACCATTAATATCTACATTCATTTTACCTCACATTAATAAATGTGCGTTTTTTATAATATTCACACTCTGTGTAAATAATACACAAATTATTTGTAAAAATGTAAAACATTTAATTAATTTATAATAAAATAAAAGTCTAAAACAACAATTGACTGCTAATTGTCAATTAGTAATTGAAAAACACACAAAATTGTGCGACAAATCAAACCAACCATAATATTAATAAATCAATCAAAACATCCATTAATATCAACGCCAAGCATAACATGTCGGCGCCGGACGAGCAGCCAAACCACAGCACAACCTTCAGCACCGGTGGTATCGACGGACGACTGGCCAACTTCGAGCTGGAGAAGCGTATAGGTCGGGGCCAGTTCTCGGTGGTATACCGGGCCCGCTATCGGCCCACCGGACAGATTATGGCGCTCAAGAAGATGCAAATATTCGAGATGTTGGACGCGAAGGCCCGGTACGACTGTATCAAAGAGATCAACTTGCTCCAGCAGCTGGACCACCCCAACGTGATCAAATACCTGTGCTCGTTCATCGAGCACAACGACCTGTACATCGCCCTGGAGTTGGCCGACGCCGGCGACCTGAGCCGACTCATACACTATTTCCGCCGCGAGGGCCGATTGATACCGGAGGTGACAATATGGCGGTACTTCGCGCAGGTATGCGCCGCACTCGAGCACATGCATGGGAAGCGTGTGATGCATCGCGACATCAAACCGGCCAACGTTTTTATGACCGCACAGGCGGTGGTCAAACTCGGCGATCTAGGGTTGGGCCGCTTTTTTAGCTCCCGCACCACAGACGCCCACTCTCTGGTCGGCACCCCGTACTACATGTCGCCCGAGCGCATACACGAGTCGGCCTACGATTTCAAGTCCGACATCTGGTCGCTCGGCTGCCTATTGTACGAGTTGGCAGCGCTTCAGTCGCCCTTTTACGGCGAGAAACTCAATCTCTACGCCCTGTGCCGTAAGATCGAGTCGTCTAACTACCCGCCCATACCGTCCGACATGTACTCGCGTGAGTTGAAACACTTGGTGGACAATTGTCTACAGCCCGACCCCGACAGGCGTATCGATACGCTGGGTGTGTGCCGAGTGGCCAACACTATGCTCGCGAGGTTTTCGCAAGCGATTAAGGCCAAAGGTATGGCCGCCGGTGCCCCCATTCCCGTCCCGTTGGCCCCGAGTCCGGCCTCTAGTGGTCAGGTGTCGCCGGCGACCGATGGCACTGATAGTGAGAATTTGATTAATTTTGAGTCTCCCGTAATGCAGGGTAATAGTGGTCATAATGTCCAACACCAACAGCCCTCTAACCCATCGGGGTTTTTGTGTTTCCATGGTTTGGGCCCTAAAGGGGGCAAAAATTGACTGATTTTGCGATTTTTGTACCACAAAATGTTAACTTATTTATTGTTTTAAATGTGTTTTTGCATGTAATTAATACTGAATTTATGCCATGATTTTTTACCAATTTGGTTTTTATTATTTTTTATTGACATTAATTCTGTTATCATTTAAATTAGTTTTTAAATTCATTCAGTCATTTGATTTGATTTATTATTATTTTTAACTTACTCATTATGTAAAATTTACTACAATTTAATTAAATTGCTTTCTACATTAAGATTAAACTCGTTTTAATTATAAAATTAGCTTATTCTTACATAAATGTCTGTATTAATGCTAATTATTATTTCCTAGACTGTTTTATTTAATATACGATCCCCCATTTATAATGTATAATTCCTATACGGTTTACACCATTTCTTACACCTAAAGCAGTCTAGATTATTTCTCTCGCAATATTAAAAATCCTGATTAATAAATGTTTATAAATTAAATAATTTATATTTTTATTCTTTTACCTAGTTTACAATGCCATCTATTGTATACTGTAACTAATGTACATCAATTTTATGAGCAAGGTTATTCTCTCGAACTAGTAGTTATTAAATGATATTTTAATTATAATATTACCGTTTTCTTATATACGAATGTTAATTATACACAGCATATTTGTTATTATACCTTGTTATTAAATATTTACTAAATCAATAATTTATTAATGCATGAAAACAACTATACAAAGTACTCATTGGTCTATTAATATGATATATTGTTAAACAAGTACATTTCAAGTAGAAAATAAGTACATATTTTATTTGATGTGGAGGTAAAACTACCGCTATTGGATGTCTTGTTAACCATCATGATGATATAATTTATTTAATAATAATTAAAAAACTAAAAATTATTATATAGACTCAGTTTCTATCAAATTATTAAGATTTTTATTGGAAAAAACAAAACACTTTATATTTAAGTTTAAATTAAAAAAATTTCTTTTCACATTCGCCGACAAGTCTTATAAGTTATAACATTGATCTCTATGTAAACAATAAGCCTTTAAAATCAACATTAAATCCTGTATACAATATATTTTATTTGATATGAGGGTTGGGGTCGGGGAGAGGAATGACATAATACCCCCGGGGATAAGGGAGTCGTGTTATTCACTGGTATTATAAACAATTTTATGACACTTATAAAAGTTTATATAAAATTTTACACCCCGTCAAATTTTGTTATACCAAGTTATGTGTATCGCACGGACACCTGGCTATCCAACCCCTCCCCCTCCCCCACCATTGGATACACCGGTGTTTAAGACATCCGCTGTTATAATGATAAAAATATTGTCCAAATAGTTTTTTGTGCAGATTTTTATGTTTAAAATTCAAATGAAACACTAATTATCGATATTTAGTGTTAAGTAATATAAAGTTATCATTTGTTGAGAAAATTTGATAATAAAATGTATGTTTTCTTTAAAATTTGATTATAAATCAAAGGATCAATGAATTATATGTTTCAATGTTAGCGTCAAAACATTAATGTAATTTACCATTTAATTATTAAATGGGTAATAAAAAATCTTAGGCAGTATTAAATATGGTAAAAATTGCAGCAAAAATCTTATACAATTATTTAAATAGAGAATGAAATGCAAGAAAATAATATTTTTATTAATAATTTAAATGCTTTAATAATTTATTGATATTAATAATAATGTTTATTTAGTCTAATAATAATAATGTAAATATTAAATACAAACTACATTAGTAATGATCATTAATGTAAATTTATATCTTATTGTTTTACCTGGACTTCAGCTAATGGTTTCATGATGATCATAAATACATGTATATAATTAATGTATTCAAATTGAAAACATTCAAAATAAAATGAAATATATATCTAAGAATACTTACATAAACTCACTTTTCCTTATATGTCTAAATGAATTGATTGATTATAATAATGCATATTTAAACGAGAAAGGTTACTTATCTTATATTAACATGTATGTTTTTTATATAGAAATATTGTGTATATAAGTATTAAACAACTGATTTGTTAAAAACATTTAAAGTTTTTTCTACACTATTTAACTGGAAATTTCTACCCATTTATAATGAATA